ATGTCAAGCTACACTGGTTCAACACGCATGCTTCCTTTGTCGCACTTTTAAAGGTATGCTAAGGAAATGCTCCTGGGGACGTGCAGGTGCTTTTCCTGGACAAAATAGTCTCGTCCGCACCGAGGATGTCTTATCTTCACGGCCTGAAAAACGTGATGAGGACCGTACCCGCTCCTTACAAAGAGCATATGCCGCCCTCCGCTTCACACTGAACCCACTAACTTTCACGGTTCTCTGGTTTTGCGCTTCACTTGCTACTCGCTCTTTCCATGCCGATGAGAATTCGTTGATACACTTCTTCACAACATTGCAAGTTCGGATCGAGAGCGGCAACATCACGGGTTTTTTTAAATTTTTTTATTCACTGCCGAGTTGGTTATTTCACTGTTACATAAAGCCTCGTATAAAGCCTGTACCCAAAGCGAAGGGATATTCTGTAGTCTTGCATAGTTTGCTCTCGATATTTCTGACTCCCTAAACTCACTTGGTGAACCTCTCACAAGCACTGGTTGATCATCCCGAAGAGCACAGTAATATGTTAAGTTGGTGTAGCTCAAGTTTTCGACCAAATAAAAAAGTATCCTTGAGGTATGAATTGATCAAAAATCTACTGACGTTTTCCATTGCTTTCCATTCTGCTCGCTGTGTTCACAGTGTCACCGAAGAGACAGTATCGAGGCATTGTCAATCCTACCACTCCTGTTACCACGGAGCCTGAACTCGTATCGCATTAGTCAATGTGGGTCACCGGCTGCTCGTTCTAGTACTGTAAGTTCTATCTAGTCTTTATTATCAGCAAAAATATCCTTCATTTGTAATGAATGGGTTGAGGCTTATTTCTCGTAGGAATGGACGGACAACGGGGAAACACTTCACCCATCAGTGAGAAATCTACCCACCTGGGTTACCTATCCTTTTTTACCTTTATCAGTAAAGGAGCTACAAACAGCTCGAAGCCGAAATTTCTAGCAGGTTTATGCCCTACGAGAAGTTCATGAACGTCTCCCATTAGTAGAAAAATGTCTGCTTCAAAGGAGGCAAGGTAAATGGGATGAGAACATCGCAATTATCGGATTGTGGTAACAACAGAAGGGGCTGACAAACGGTAGTGGAAAACGAGTCGCTGATATAACATTACTTTTTATTCTCCAGTACCAAGTTCTGAACTGCGATATGTTTAATACCAAGGTTAAGTTATCAAGAGTTCGCAAATGACTAAGACACCTCAAATGATTTAACGAAGCGTTTTTTTAACAAAACGAACGCTTTATCCTTGGGCGATATTCTCCATTGTTCTAAAAATCTCGTGAAACCGACAATTCCAGAGTATAATGAATCGTGGGCTCAATTCCTCTCCCGATTCGTTTTTCCTGATAGAATGAAGGGCCATTTAGGGACGACGTACAGATGGGTGAAGTTGGTTTATGGGACTGGTCTTCTTATGTGAATGCAAACTACAAGGGAGGTCTTCAGGCCGTGGTAGAAGCTTTTGTTTTCAAAACGATTTGTTGCATGTTGTAGGGGTCCATACAAGGACCACACACGGTTTCATTTTTGCTAAACGCTATTGGGAATGTCAAAGGAATAAAAACAAATCCGGCTAAAATACGAAGCTTTTATCAATCTCATTCGCATAGCTGTTTCAAGACTAGTAAAGCAGAAATACAAAGAGTTCTATAAAGTAGTATTTCACCACTAGACATGAAAAAGAACATTGAATAGTCGAAATACAAGTGCCTTACTTGGCATACAGTGAGGTACACTGCAATTTCTTTAGGGGCTTATGCAGCATCCCTTCGCGCTCGCAGTGGCCTTTTAGCGCCACGCTGGCCCCAGATCACGTCGGCGCCATAAATAATTGTCAGAATCGTGATCAGGGCCATTGATTACCCCTGTTTGAGAGGTTTCAGCGAAAAATTTTTTTCGAGTTTCTTTAGTGGTCATGGACCTGACCCCTTGGATGGCAGTGACAGGCGACCAGTTCAAGTATTCCTCTGGCAGACGAACCGCCAGAAAATTTTTCATTTCTCGCCCCTCAACTTCAGTAGGTCTTCATAGAACATCTTGCTAGCTTCGGAGCCACTAACGAGCATCCTGGATTTTCTTCACTTTTACCGTCTATGCTTTCGAGAAAGAACTCGTTACCACTTGCCCGAAGAAAGGTTTTTATTTCCTCTCCAAAATATGCGAGGAAGTGCATAATGTCGTCTTTATTTGTGGTAGTTTTTAATTCTGCGTCTGCATACTACGAAATGAAAGCTACCTACTTAACAAGTTGGAGACTCCTCTGAGGAAGGGGAGGGGGGGGGGGGGCCGACTGCATAGCGCACTAGCTGGAGACGTCGGCAACGTAAACAAGAAGCTCGGAAAATTTCTCGGTGCCTCTAATACGTAGGGGTAATTGATGTTCCTTGATCACGGTTCGAGCATACTTATTTATTGGCCGCAGGAGAGCATCTGGGGCAGTACGAGAGCGCTAAATAGCCCGGCGCGCAGACTGACAATGGATGGTAGTGAACGAGAAAGCTTCCGCAAACCAAATCAGCGATACGTATGCCCCAATTCAAAATGGTGTCGTGTCCATGAACAGAGCATCAGGATAATCCGCCGTGACCAGTTTTCCATGAAGAGTTTTTCGATAGTATTTCGCGAGCGCAATAAGTTGAGTGAGGCCTATTTGTGAACCGTTCCCGCATGGAATGTGCCTTCAAATGGCGTATATCCGGGTCATACACATTATGGGGCATACAGGATACAAGAAGCAAGAAAATGTGAAAAAAGCAGAAACTAGTGTCGGTGTGCGGATCGAATCGCACAAACGACCTCGCCGCAGAGCACGTCCACTATCGCCCAACCATCTGCAACTAGCGAACACCTGTCGATACAGACCTGTCTGAAGAGATATCGCAAGAATGACGAGGAAAACTCCCAATGCAGCTGGCACACTAGATGCCAAGTAGACGCATTGATTTGCCATTGATTTTGGCGCCTGTGCTTTACATGGCCTGCTCAAAGAATACCCTACAGATACTATAACCTGTCAACGCTACAGCTAGAAATGAGGGGGGAATAAAGCGTGGTTAAAAAGCCCATTCTTTTCGAATTGTTTTTGACCTTTTTTGACATTCCCAAAACCGTTTAGCAAAAATGAACCCCATCGCTGTGGTCCTCGCATGGACCCCTACAACATGCAACAAACCGTTTTGAAAAAGCTCACCACGGCCTGAACGACCTCCCTTGTAAGGCGCACGGTACATCAGAGTAAAGGATACCAGAATCAGTGGAAAGATATAACTGAAAGAACATCGAATGATTTCCCATGTCTCTTCTCCTTTCTTCATTTTATATTGAATTAAATATTACATAGTTAACCTGTATGCATTCCGATTCTTCAGGTTGACGCCTTGCTGAGGTAGATGAGGTATCCGAAAACTTCTGAGGCTTTCGATGAATCCGAGCGACATGCTGCATATTTCTTTTATGTGTTGTTGACCATTTCTGTGTGGTAGTCCACTCACGCAGAGGTAACCATCGCCTATCGTTTCGACCTGGAGAATATGTTATGTATTGTATTCAAGAACCGGAAAACAGGCTCATGAAAAACGAAAAAGCCCATGACTGCTGAGGAACTGCCAGACTCTTCATTGCAAAGCGCTGTACATCCACGCCTGAGAATCGTCCTCCGAGCCATGTGCGAGGTGAATGGGTTGGCAGCTGTGACGTTAGACTTTCGCCGCTCAAAAGTGCACTCGAACAGGCCGGAGGATAACTTTAATCCGAAATAGTTCCTGGACTTCACCTGAGCTTCAGCTCCGTCGGCCACACGCCTAATCCTAACCAACGGCGCTACTTTTCTGCGCTCTAGTTACTCTCGTTTCGACTGCGTGCTCGCTGGAGGATTATGATATCACATCGAGGCTAGTTGGCAAGGTTGGGAGGTGGCAACCGGAGACGGACCTCTACCCTCAAACCCCGTGCCCGTGTATTTCTGAGCGGGGAAAGTGGCACCCTGCTGCAGCTACAGACCCATTCATCTCACAAATGGAAAGGACCACGATCCATGGAAGTGAGCGTACAGTTTCTCTTCAGAAAGGAGGTCACGCTTCTCGCACAAATGCTTCCACAAAGCCTTTATAGTTTTCAGCACCAAAATCTCGTGCCAAAGGAACATTTGAGAAAATCGGGTATTTTGTCGTTTAAAATCTTCAAATCACAATAAAAATTCGCAGAGAGCAAGCACTTGCCTTGTAAACATCGTGGGCATCGATTATACTGTCAAAAATTGTATATAGGTCGTTCAGCAGGCTCACAACCTGCAAAACAACTCCTTATTCATCGTTGAGAGAACCTATTGATGCAGGCAAGAAAAGCAGGAAAAGAAAAAGGTCGAATGAAGTAAACAACTCACAATCAGGCACTAAACTAGCGGCAGTAGGTATAGGTAAGTGGGAAAAGTGGAATGGGGGCCCAAAGGCAAATAGAGTAAGGAGGATGAACAAAGAGAGCTGGGCAAAAGCTGAGAATTACAGTTCAAAAGAAGGGAAAACAGAGTAGTTATTGCAGGCAAGCAAGAAAAGGTGTATTTGATGTAGGAAGCCTGTCAACTCGAGAAAGGTTGTCTACCATGGTCGAGGCACGTCGATGGAACTGTTAATGGCACAAGCATTACCCCCCCCTCCGCAGCACCAGGGCAAGGATAAGAAAACAGGTTCAGCTAGCATGGAAGAACTCTTCAGCTGAAACCGTTCTGCGGGGTTTCAAGAGCATGGTTCTAAATCGGCAAATGGGCACAATTCCCGCGAAAAAAATCCCTATCAAAGACTGTGATGAAATAAAGTAGGAAGTCGTACCTGCATAGGATTACACTTGGCGGCAAGGGTTGTAAACGAGACCACGTCTGAGAAGAACACGGTCACACTCTCAAACGTCTCAGGCTCAACCGACTGTCCAAGTTTCAGTTTCTCGGCCACTTGTCTTGAAAAGAGAGATCATGTTTAGAAGCACCACCCACTATAACAATAAGAAGGGTACATTGCATTTCTGGGCACCTGCAATAGCATCCTGAACTCAGATGGTCCAAAATTCATCTATGCACGAAAGGCAATAACAATCAATGCAGCGCCACGGGCTCATTATTAGCTCAACTTAGAAGCGGAGAAGGACACCTCGCTCACTCCGCTTTGGGCAATCAAAGTTTATGTCGCACAGAGTGACAGAGTATGCAGAAGAAGGGTGAAATATTCACACGGTATTCTTCTATGAACAGGAGCATGTGCCCCACCTCTACTTTCATGGCTGCGAGAAGGTAAAGGTATTCACCATTGCCGTCATACTCAAGAAAGTCCGCAGGATTTGCATCAGAAAACCCTGCAGGAGTACCAGTGTTGAGACTCTCGTGTGCAGGTTCCTGAAGGTAGTCGCCCTGATGGTGAGAGACATTAGCCGTTCAGGTGCTTGGACAACCTCGCTTCGTGACAGGGCCCTTTGGACATGAAGTTCACTAAGATTCCAAAAACGTCAGTTCTACGGTTTCCGAAGATACCAGGATCGCGAGGGAGGGTGCAACATCGGTGGAAGAATCCTTTCAGAGGGTACTTTCTTGTTGGGAAGGGAGGTCGTATCTGGTATCCAGAGAAACTTCGTGAATCGGAAATATTTTTTTTCTAGTGGTTGACCTGTTAAA